ATTGCCCTTATTTGGATGAAAAGTCACGTGATTGCAAACAAAGAATAGTATACTGTTCGACCATTACCTTAAACATCCAAGATATCGCGTATTTTTGAGCAGTGAGAAGTAACGATGGAACGTTTTGAAAGAGGTCCGTATCACCGATCCCAGGGTGCAATACATTCGCAGTCACGTGACAACCTTCAGCCAATAATCGTCTTTGCAATTCGTACGTAAAAAGAATGTTCGCCAATTTACTTTGTTGATATGCACCATAAGGACAATAACCACAACTACTATATTAATACAGCAATCAGATTAATAGACTGACACACGGTTGGCCTTGCAGTTTTACCAGAAAACTATATAGTGTGACCTGTTTTCGGTGATATTAAATTTTGTCAGTTAATATTTTATATTTAACAAATACAAAACATTTTCCGTGTTGATATACAGTTATATCAACACGAGTGGAAATTGGAGAAAACGAGAAACTGTGTTTTCACACAATTTCGAGTTTTCCCAATTTCCACGAGTTTCACGAGTTTTCCCAATTTCCACAATTTTCACGAGTTTTCCCAATTTCCAATATAGCACAAAGAAATATAAAGAAAGAAATTTTCCGACGTTTCCGTGTTGACATTGAGTTATATCAACACGGCTCTTAGCCAATCAGCGTTCAGAATTTACAAATGCTATGTTATAAAATCGACTGGATGAACCTCGGGATGAACACAAGTCAAACTTCTAAACAGATAACAAATAAATGGCAAATACTTGCACTGCATGATGCCGTCTTCATATACATGCATACATGGTTATTGCATTGTATTAACTACAAACTCAGTTTATACAACTAAACCGTTCTCAAAAGACAAAAAAAAGAATGAAAAATAGTTTATACAATTTATGAAGTGATATAGTTTGGTATAAAAAAGCTAGTTTCGTTTGTTAAAGAGAAGCGAACAACGGATAAACTTTACTAAATTCACTTCGTCACTGTGTATATATAGTTTCTGCCACATCATAAATATTCTTTCTTCATTCTTGTTTTTCCTTGCTTTCGGGAGTGGATTCTAGCTTATTTAATTTTTAAAAATAGATATATCTTCTCTTTTCGTATTTTTACAGCCATTTTGTCGGTGAAAATTGTCAAAAACTCCCAGATCCAGCTCAAAACATTGCTAAAAACCACTGCTGGCGGACGTAAACAATTTAAATTATCTAATTTGTTCATTTTAGCCCGCTAATTTGTTCATTTTAGCAGGGCGCTATAAAACACGGGCGGTGAAACGGAGATAGCGCCCCTGATCTTTGTGTGATGCGCGTACCCCCCGTATACATTAGTTTATAATGCCAATTTAATAAAAATGGAATTGGAATGTTTTATATGCAAAGTAAAAAATGTTTTCTGTATTCCTAAACAACTTGATGGTTTGAAGACATTGTTGGATTCATTTTCTGTATATCTGATGAAGGAAAAACGGCTTTAAAGATTCATCATGAGCGAAATAAAAATTTGAAAAGGAATCGAGCTGATCGAATGTGGGCATATTCCAAATACGAAAATTGTGGTATGAAATGGGATATTTTACTTCATAATGCGAAGCGAAGGTAGGATAAACATTTTCACAGTAAGTATATTCTGACATTGCTTGGCTACTATTTTTCAATAATCATATAGCCCAAAATTGACCATGCATGCATTTTAATAAAACAACTAGAATTTGAAAAAAACAACTACAATAGAGAAGTTTACCTGACGCTAGGCATGATGGGTAATTGGGACAAAGAATGCAAAATGGCGGCAATTTAGCGATGAATATTTATGAGAACTTTTTCTGAATTATTTATACTTTGTTCAAAGGTGAGAAATTTTTGAATTTGTTAATTCTCTTTCCATCATTTATATTCTATTTGACAAGCTGTTTTTATAGACCATGTAATCGGTAATCTTTGATAGAATACCGATGTTTAATTTGTTTATGCAAGTTATAAGTGTTTGGTAAGCCGATTTGTTTATCAATTGCCCCTGCTGATATCCGTAATCCGTTCATTTTTCAACATCAGGTTTCAAACACGTTAATGTTGGGATGCCTAGCTATCGCTGTTGTATAGGAACATGCAGAAACGACTCCCGATATCGAGAAAATATTGTTAAAAGGGGCCATGTTGAGGGAGAGTTGAAGTGGCATCACATCCCTAAAGACGAGGGTGTTTGTGCACAATGGGTGGCAAATATTTCTCGTGGAATAAAAGACTTCGTTGCATCAAACTATAAGGCAGTATGCAGCAACCACTTCCAGTATGGAAAGCCAACTTTCAGCAGTCCTCACCCTACTCTTTACCTTGTCAAAAGTGATCGTTGTAAACAGTCGCCAAGGAAGAGAAGGAAACTTGTTTATAAGCAGCAAATTCCTGATGGTACTGCACAGTCTGCGCCATCAACCAAATCTCAAAAAAAGTGTAAGAGAGGAGAACCAAAAGAAGCAGCAACACAATGTACAATTCAAAGTTTTACCTTTGCCCAGCTGACCAGAGAAGTAGACGTTAGGTTTTTTACAGGATTTCCAAACACAGAGGTTTTTGAAATGGTATTTAACCAACTGAAGCAAAAAGCATCAAATATGCACTATTGGAGAGGGTTGAAAGAAACCATTTTAAATGATGATAGTCCAGCCAAAGTTGCACGCTCAGGTAGAAGAATTATGACGTCAGAACAAGAATTTTTACTAACGATGATGCGGATTAGAATTGCCAGTTTCCAGCAAGATTTAGCATTTCGCTTTGGGATCTCTGAAGCATTGGTAAGCCGCATATTTACAACTTGGATTAAACTAATGGAAGCAGAACTTTCATGGTTAATTATATGGCCTGAGAGAAGAATTATTAGACGAAACCTACCTGAAGTATTTAGGAAGTATTATCCAAGATGCTGTATTATCATTGACTGCACTGAATTTTTTGTAGCTACTCCATCTAGTCTTGAAGCAGCAGCCCTTTTCTGGTCCAACTACAAGCACCACTCAACAAGTAAAGTGCTCATTGGAATAACTCCCAATGGGCTGATAAGTTTTGTGTCAGACTGCTATGGATGGAGGGCTACTGATAAATATATTGTGCAAAATTCAGGCTTTCTTCAATGTACCCAGCCTAATGATCAAATAATGGCTGATCGAGGATTTAAAATAGAAGAAATGTTAGCTTTTTACCAATGCTCACTTGCTATCCCGCCTTCCAAATGTGGTCATCTACAGATGTCCAAAGAACAAGTCAAAAGCACATCACGAATTGCAAATGCTAGAATCTATGTGGAGCAGGTCATGAAAAGACTTAAAGATTATCGAATTCTTAGCAATGAGATTCCAGTGACTCTTATTTCATTGGCTGATAACATTGTGAAAGTGTTTGCAGCACTAAACAACTTGCAAGAACCATTATTTTTCATTCTTTAATTAAATTCTATATAAAATATTAAAAATTACTTAATATTTGCTGAAATAATACAGTTAAAGAGGCAGTCAAGTCCGTTCTGCACATACATTCCAATGGACGGGACCCAACCATTGGAATGTTAACAATATTTCGCATCTTATGAACTTACTTCAATTGAAACTCTAGTTTACATGTATATTCATTTACAAGCATGGTGAACCAAAAAAGTTTTAGAAATTCAGTTAGAATATCATATTTTTTAAACAAGCGTTTGTTTACATTACGGACTTGACCGCCTCGTTAAATAATTATAAAATAATTATGTAACAGAATTTGAACAGGTAAAACAAACAAACTTTATCTCTTCAGACTGTACATTAACACAAGACCAGTGATACCACATACCACACGAGTCGCAGCAAATGCTGTTCTCGTTGTCTTCATCGATCTCATTAGGTTCCAGACAAGATTTGTCACAATTAGGACAAAAGCATATTGGTCGTATACCAAGTAAAACTTTACACATATAACTCTTATAAAAAACAACTAAATTCCGTAAGACATCTTGCCAATGTGCTTCATCAAACTTTATGATTTCAACAAAAGGTGGGCCAACTGTAGTCCAGACAACAAAATAACGCTGTTCACATTCAGTCATAGCTAGCTGACCTATGATCTGTGTATAGTATTTGTGATTCCGTTTCAATTGAATTTTCCCATAAGCTTTTTCCAAGAAGCTAGTTTCGTTCCATGCCTCAAGAACACTTTGATTTCTGATAGAGTAAGGGCATTTGACCTCTACACAGGCTTTCTTACAACAACTACACAACACCAGTGCATCAGGACTAGCACCTATATACGGATGCGATTTGCTAACAAATAGTCCACATGAAATCAATTTACAATTGTTATGCATTTTGGTAAATTCTGTGAAAAAACTCCCCTTAGCTGTGTCTTCATGATCTGTTCCCCATTTAGTAGGACTCAGACTGCTGATATCTTTTTGATAAAGCAGGATTACTAAAAGTGGTGTGATTTTACAATTTGCACCTTTACTTTGTGATTTTGACAAAGTGTTAACTTTAGTGAAGACCTCGCGAAATTTAGAAGCAGTTATGCGTCCTTTTCTTTGTTTATACCAAGCCGTGGATTTGGACTGAGATCTTGTGGATTTTTCAAGCTCATGAAGTTGCCTATCACTGAAGGACAACTTTTCAAAATATTTTGCCACTAATTCATCTTCTGGAAGTGAATCTGTTTCACCAGAAATACTCTCAGCTATTTCAGGCAGAGGATCTGGTACATCTTCATCAAGTGCTGGTGCAAATTATATATTTAGCACTGCATTTGGCAACATAATTACTTAGCATTTAAATCCTTTGTTTTCTCGTTTGCTTGTTTACATATTTTTGTTGCCATCTTGTACGCGATTTTCTGATTTTTTTTTAGAGAAAGCGCGATCGCGCTAATCCTAATGTGCATCACACGTAGCACGGTCATTTATTAGCGCGTTTCCCCGCCCGTATTTTATAGCGCCCTGATTTTAGTCCGCAAAATACGCCACAATAATTATAATTTCGCTTAGTGGCATAAAATTAATAGTACAATTTAGCATTGCATGCATGGTGAATAAACTAATAATAATAATAATAATAATAATAATAATAATAATGATTTTATTACAGGATTTCCACGTAAGTGGCTCTTCATCTGTAAAAAAACTATTATACTACAATTGTTATAAAATAGAAAGGTTCTATAAGTTATTAACATGCTAATTCTTAAATAATTATTAAATTATTCCCTATTTAATCCTTTGTTTGCGACTTCAAAATAGTGAAAAACACGACAGTTTCAAATTTCTAAGGGTAAAATATTAAAATTGTTCAAATAAAATCATTTTCAAGGGGCACATTGAGTTTGGTTTCTGAGGATGACCTCAATGTTCTGCCAGGAGTGTGCAACTCCAGCTTCAAGTATGAAGGCCACTGATCAAAATACAAGGCCTTAAACGTAGCTTGGGCCAAATGAAAATCTCTTCGTTCTTTGATTGGAAGCCATCCCAATTTCAAGACATCCAATTTAGTGGCATACCTTCCGACAACAAGCCGCACACTGCACACTGCTGAAGACGTTTCACGAGATATTCAGGAATTGGATGACTCACTATATCATTATAATCCAGCTTTGATAGCACTAGACACTCAGATAACTGCTGTCTGATCTTGTAAGGGGCAAGATGCTTTAGTTTTCTTAGTACGGATAAGGTTTTGTAACAGCTGGATATTTTCGTACTTATTTCATTTGTCCAAGTTAAATGATGATGCAATTGGGTACCTAACAATCGAGCGCTATCAAGTCGTTCGAGTTGGTTTCCGCCTATACGAAGGCCAGTGACATATTCGTGAAGCAGGTGAACTCTGGAACGCTGTAAAGTCGAGAACAGCATCGCCTTTGTTTTCCCCGGGTTCAGTGCTAGGTTACATTTTTGAGACCAAGAAGACATGTTATTGAGAGCACATTGCAGTGCCATGAAAGATGATGATACTTGTGTGTTGGCCTGAAAGTTTGGTGAAGGTGACGTATAAACTAGCGGAGATATGACAGCTTGATTTTGGTAACGAGAATATACATGTTAACTTTTCACAATATTCAGATTGCCAAAAATCGAAAAGTTGATTTGATCCCATACCGCAACTGTTATATTTCAGCTATTGTAAATCAGATGGCTTACAATGACGGTAGAGAGTAGTGTCGTCCGCGTACTGATGACAAGCAATTCATTGAGGCAACACGTCAGGTAAATCATTGACGTATAAATTGAATAGAACTGGACCTAAAATCGATCCCTGCGGTACTCCAAAGGTTACGCCAACACGCTCGGAAGAACGATCGTCCACTTGGACGCACTGTTTTCTATCTATCAGATAGCTTATTGTCCATTTCAGGGAGGTATTCGAAAATCCTAAGCGATGCAGCTTGGATAACACGGTTTGGTAAGCAACTGTGTCAAACGCTTTCGAAAAGTCCGCCAGAACTGCAATAGTCACTTCGCCTCTTTTCATTGCCCTAAGGATATCATCTCTGATAGCTAACATGGTGGTAGTGGTGGAATTTTAAATATTTTCTAATTGTATTAAATTGGTAGATTTAAGAAAGACGACCAAGTGTATCAGGTTTGCAGGTCAGAACAATCTGGCATACAAGTAGTATGATCATACAAGTAGTATGATCTACCACGTTGGTGACGTGCTAGATTTGACAAGCAACTTTTCAAAGAAACATGCAACGGTTCTAGCAACCCTAGTTCTCTAATTCACAGATGTTTAATAAAAAGTTGGATGAAATTACTTAATTCGTACCTGTCGTTCAGATTATCGAAAGCAATTGTTCCGTAGCGATGAACATCAGACGTGACGTTCACTATTCTTGCATAACTATCAGGACAACCAGTACTGAGAGATAAAGTAACACATTTACACATTATGATTGCACATAAGTTTAATTTATACGTATTTTTTGTAGTATTGATTAGGGAGGTTCAGATTTGATATCCAGTACCACTAATTGGCTTAATACGCATATGATTGGTTAATCGGGTAGATAAAATGCATTTGATTGGTTAAAAATCAGAACCTCTCTATTTTTACTGGCACAGCACGTGTATCAGGAAAATATGGCTTGATACTCAGGTTATTACTTGCATTGCCTTTTGTTATCAAAATGACGTCACAATAACTTCGGTGCATGGTTTTATGTATTAATTAGTATTAAAGGTCAGAAATGATATTAAAACATCAGGCTTAAAGTTAGGATTACAATGAGGTCAGGATTATTGTTAGGAAAAGTTCAGGATTAGTGTTAGGATAACTGGATAAGGCTATGGTTAGGAAAGAAATAGGGTTGTAGGGATTAGATATAGTTTTAAAAATGACAGTAATTGTTAATATGGAAATTGATCGGATTATTCAAATTTCATTACTCACTCATTTAAAACATCCAAAAGCTGCAGTGTTAGAGCAAAATGACCAAGATGGTTTATTGCAAACTGTAATTCATAACCATCTTCTGTTGTTTCATAAGGTGTGATCATAACGCCAGCTAAAATCGCAAACTAAAACCTTCAGGAATATACGTAATAATACATGTACATGTATGATGTATGCATTGTCAAAAATAGCAATGAGAAGAAATTAAAGTGTTCACTGGATTTGTTATACTTCATATTGTATTGTTTCAGTTAAATTGTTGTAAGTTGTTTGTTTTGATGCTATATTAGAATTTATTCAGCAAATGCTTTGAATTGTTCAAAATAGGACACCAAAACGAGGTTCTTTCACCCCCAAAAGACCGAAACTGGAACTCAGATGAAATTTCTGGAACCCACACAGCTCTAGAATACCAAAACCACCCCCATTGATTTTAGGATAGACTATAGGGAAATAAGTATATTCTGAAAATAAAGAAATATTTTACTTGTAAAGAGAAACGTGAAAAACACCCTTGTTAAGATATCAAAAGCTTGCCTTATGCAGACAGAACAGAATTAATTTATTAGTAAAGATATATCATTATAAGAATAATCATGTCTGATTATTTTGCAATTTCTACTCAGAAAATTGACCTTACACAATGAATATTTGACCCACATGTATCCCACATTGCACCGCGGAAACCTAATCTTGAGATGGATTGAAATTTGTGTGACATAAGCACTTCTACCTGTAAGGTTTATTGCTTGCCACTTGGTGTCATTGAGTCCTGAAATTGCAAATACTGAAACAAAGAATAAAAAATTACCTAGCACCTTACCATTGTTAATTAAAATATGAAGAGGAAGATTCCTTTGTTTAAACTGTGTAACAAATTCTCTGATTGATGACAATCTTGATAAGTCCAATTGTATAAATTCAACTGCAAAATAAAATATAGCTGATATTATAGCTACTGGTAACTAATTACTTTGACACACAGCACATCACATGACTATTTGACATAAAGATGACTGTACATACCTTTTGCACTTGGTATTTCTTTCTTTATCTTCTCTACTGCTAAATTGGCAGAAACACTTGACCTGCAAGCTGGCATTGAAATAATTATATTCAGAAAAAAAGTTGAGGGAAGGTTAAATAATATCATTTAGTTCATTACAGTCAAAACACTAAAACCTGCACACTTTTACACTCACTGCCAGTTATTTTATTTTGTTCTGTCTTATGTAGCGGTTACAAAATTTTAGGAAAATGCGGCAATGAAAATTAATTTTGCTACTTTTATCTGTTAACATGCAGTGGATCTCATGAAAAAGGCATTTTTTGTTACAAGTATTCCAATTTAGAAAACTAAATTTTACTGACGCATTTCTTCATAATTTGGTAACCGCTGCAGTAATCGTACAGAACGGAATACAATAAATGACACCCAAGGCCGGCGAGAGGGGCAGGTGGGGGGCAAAATACCCGGGGTCCAGGGTGCTCAGAGGGGCCCGGAAATCTCGGTAAAATGTTTGTATCATTTATCATCACTTTAAGTTTGTCCTAAATGAAATACGCCTACTTGCACATTATCCACTGATCATCGCGATCGATCATAAATTGTTGCACTTTTCTGTCTTACACCGCAAGACAGTTGCGCTTCGTGGGGACTGTATACTATCAGAACAAGAACTACGGCGTTATCAATAGTATAATGTTACAAATTATTCTACATAAATGTACCAAATGTGAAATAAACGATTTTTTGATCGTTTTTTTTCTGCAAAAACAGTTACCCAAACACCTCTTACATCATGTCTTTATCAGTTATGAGATGAAATGAGGTATTTACCTGTATTGAACAAATTTATTACTGACATCCATCTGCTAGTACGGTAACATGCATGCATGCCACACGCGCCATCGGCACCGAAATTCTCCGGCGATTTCTTGCAAGTAATTCTCTGGTGATTCCCTCATTGATTGCGATTAGACTTTGGTGTGACCATCAGCGTGAGAGTCAAGCGGAAGGGGGGCATGTTCACCAATTTGTCCTGGGGCCCGTGGTCATGCCTCTCACCGGCCTTGGTGACAACAGAGTACAAAAGCGTAAGTGTGCATGTAAATAGTGTTTTGACTGTAAAAATACTACATAGTAGCCGGCCCATCATATGATTGTTTTTGTACACAGATATTACATTACACTCTCTTACCCAAGATTACGTGGGCTCCCAGTTTGCATAACGCTTTGGCAGTGTCATACCCAATCCCTCTATTTGAACCTGTAACTATTGCAACTTTGTCATGTTGATCTGGAATATCTACAAAAGAATTTTTTTTTTACAAACTTAAGCCCCGTTTACACTACGCTCAATTTTTGGTACGACACGGATAAAATTGGTACCCGTACCACTTTTTTGGTTCTTTGACTACCTATTTAGCTAAGCCCTGTTTACACTACGCTCAATTTTTGGTACCGTACCACTTTTTGGTTCTTGGACTACCTAAATAGGTAGTCCAAGTGGTACGGGTACCAATTTTATCCGTGCCGTACCAAAAATTGAGCGTAGTGTAAACGGGGCTTTAGTCATAAATGACAGGTTAACCCTACAGAGCTTATTGCTCCATTACAGGGTCCCTATTTTATAATAGATTAGAGTTTAAAAATAGATATAATGTATGAACAAATTGAATACATTATGAGAACATTATGAGCACATATGTAGCAGGTCATTGACAAGGACGTTGCAAGCAGCCTTCATTTGGGGGGGGGGAGGTGAGGTGAGGGGGGGTGGGGGGCAACAAAAATCTACCTGATTTTACAGGCCTTTATACTATATAAAACATGCAAGAATAAATACATAACTACACTACTGTGAAATTATTTGTGAGGTACAGTTTTAATAATTTTATCAGAAAATATATAATTACACAACCTCGTTCCCAGGGTCTTTCTTAGAACGGCGCGAGGCGAAGGAAAGACCCTGGTTTCGGCTGGTCACGTGTCACCCAGATTCTGGGTGATAAATTAAAATGATACTATGGGCAGGGTGGGAGAGGAGCGTGTTTGTCGCGTTTGTAACAATTTTTGCAATTTTGTGTGATGGATTTTAAATTTGCAACAAGAAATCGTGAAGACAACTGCAATTAAAAATTAATATTTATCGCGATGTGACTTTCTGCTGTATAATCTAGTGTCAAGTTACAATTCAAGCAAGTTGGATCAGATTTCAACTTATAGACTTGCCAAAGAAAGCACGCCTGGACGGCGTGGCAATAAGCCTACAAGAAAATTCATATCTCTAGACCGACCAATGTGGTTTATATTTATTTAACTGTTAGTATTAAAGTATATCCTGATACTCGGACCAAAAGAATTTATTTATTGATGGGATGTGGAATTGGAACGAAATAGCGAGATCTTTTGATTTCCGAAATATCGCCAAGACGCCAACTGTATCAAGATTGTTGATTATAAAGGCCTTATCAAAAAACTTAAATCCCGTCAAGACTATAAAATTTCCTGCAAGATCTCAACGATCATGGTATATGTCAAAGTCTAGCTATCTGTTGAAAATCTACGGTATTACAGTAAAGTCATACATCAAAGATAAGTCAAAGGATAATATATTTACGTCTTTCAATGAGCACTGTTTAGCCTAGTACTGTGTTTATACCACATTTATAAATTTTATAAACAGCTTTCGTTTTGACACAACTCACAAGCTTTAAATTTTCTGCTTTATATATATTCTTTATAATACAAGTGAGATTTAATTTTTTTGCTTTGTGGAATAGAATACCGTTCTTTTTTTAATGGACAGCTCGTACTGATCGTCTCTATCATATCCAGGATTGCTTGTGTGTAAATAGCCTACATGTATCACTATATATGCCACTATCAAATAAATATAGAAATATAAATGAGCTTATTGAACTAGAAATAAACAGATGATTGAGACACAATGAAAACTGTTAGTAGCCTTAGTAGAAGTAGAAAACTCGAAAATTTATGTGTATTCGTATGGCAGTCTGTGGCTGTGCGCGTCTGACACTGTAAATTTGTGATGTAGATTATAGCCTAGTTGTCTGTATATTAGGAAAACATTATCAGACCAAGAAAAAGGCTAAAGCCTTACTATAATTAATGAATACGAATTATGTACTAAATCCAAAATTTTAAAGATAAATCACTGACAGACATTTCTCTGTTTGGCTAGTATCAAATGTTTACATTTGCTGATATTGGGCTATACTCTCAAGTCCTAGACAATACAATACAATACAATACAATACAATACAATACTGTTTATTTTAAAAATCTTATAAACAAGACGTGCAAATCATAGCAACGTTTACAAGAAAGGACAAATCTAATGCGTGTTTTAAAAACATTACATATGTGAAAAGCCCATACACTGTGAAAAGCCCATAAAGGTCCACAAACGTTTGTTATAACACCGCGCTGATAATAACACGAGAGAGCACTGCGAGTAACGATTTGCTTGGTTTCTTGACTTGACTGTTGGTAAAAATGTAAGAATGTTCTTGTATTAAAATTCAAAGCAAAAAAATAAAAAAAAATTAGCAAGTATTTTGAACTTACTGGAGTAGTTGGCAAAATTTTTGTTTTTAACTGTTTGTAATTTGATACTTTCACCACACCCCCTCGGGCGATCAATTTTGGACGAGGCACGTGACCAGCCGATACCAGGGTCTTTCCTAAAGACCCTGGGAACGAGGTTGATAATTACACTGGCCACAGCCAGTGTCATAGAATGCCCTTGCTGAAAATGCTGTCTTTTTCGGGGGGAGTTTTTTGTTGTCGCAAGTGTGACTTTCCCTTGCAGCATCGTCAAGAAGCAAAGAATCTCTACATGTTTCAAATTATTTTTTAGAATATTGTGATGGTATTTTACCAACCGCAAGGCAGGTGTGAACGCCTGAGCAGGCGTCTTGTTCAATTTAAAGCAATATAACACCAGGTACACTCTATTAATCATGTTCACAGGGCCGTAATAAAAAGGCTTTAATAAGCAGGGGTTGTTTTTGTATTTTACACATTCTCAAATATTTTAGTTCTTTTCCTTCCTATCCAATAGTTTTGCCAACTACAAAGACAATTTGCCAACAAATCCTTCATTTTACCAACAAGATGTTTTCAGGGGGCGGCCCACAGGCGAAGGCCCACAGGCGACGGCCCTGATGGTCAATTTATACCATTTTGAAACTAATCTTATATTCAATGTTAATTCTTCACAGATTTCAGAACCCTAAGTTTTCTTTGTGTAAAAAAGCTGCCTTTTGCTAGTGTTAGTGTTGTGAACATAGACGGATTTT